AAGCAACATTACTGGTACATCGGTCCAATGGTACATGATGCTAATTTATTTCCAACAAAACCTCATAGCGCCCATCAGTATTTATTTCAAATTTTGGAAAATGGGATTCAAGTTTGTGTACTACAAATTGCAAGTAGTTTTACGAGACTACACATGCATCAGATTCCTCACAATTGAGTAGAAACACTATGAGCTTTGTTTTGGCTTTGGCACTACACACACAGCAGAAGCACTCTTTTGGTGTATGTGTATACCTACCTTCTGATAAAAACACTAACATGGCGATACAGGAGAAATTTTGTCGTCGAAATTCGCGTCATCAAAATCGAAACCCACCATGACGTCATAACCGTTTCTGCATATAAGCAGAGTATACTGCGCACGGCGCAACCTTCACCGGAAATGGAGCCGAACCCCCGCGCCGAAGGCGCGGGGGAAGGCCTCCGTTCGGGCGGGTTCGGTGGATGTGTCGCTCAATAAAGTGTCTAAGTGTTCATGCTATTCTCTGTGACTTCGACCAGTTCCCTCGACCAGTTTCCCTCGACCAGTTTCCCTCGACCAGTTTTCCGTTCGACTACTTTGGGTACACCCCAGACGACGTGTGGTGAGGACCTCGGCCGGCGGCGGGCCTCGAGGCGGGCCTCTGCCGTGCGGCGAGGAGGACGGCGGGGAAGTCACGCCCGGTGACTCCGCCTGACTCCGTGCGGCGGCGACGTGTCACGCTGTTTGCGGCACGCGTGGGCGCGAGCACGGCCGTGACCCTCGACGCGTGCAGCGGAACAGTACCGCGCGCTGCAGCGCCACGTCCGTGTACTCATAGTCCACCCGCCCGATCACACACACCCTTCTTCGCTCTCCTTTTCCCCTTCCCTTCGCTCTGCCCAGTAATGACACCGAGATGAAGTCGGAAGAGAGATGACCCTCAAGACCATTAATTAGATTGACTGGCGCAGGCGGGCGTGGCGGCGCGTGGCGGCGCGTCGGGATTATCCACACTCCTTGTCACATCACGCACACATCTGGCAACACCTCCCGTCGCACTCGCTCCCCGCTTATCTCCAAATCTTCCAACTGCTATTTCTTTTTATCTTCCCTTTTCCGAGTCTGTGATTCTGCCGCACTTCCGCGCCTTGCTGCACTTTGTGCTCCAGCTGATTGCGCAAACGCGTCACCTCGGTCTCCTCCTCTCCGCTCGGAGCCGAGCGACCGAGAAAAAGCCAGGTTCCCCATTGTGTCTGCCAAAAAGCTCCAGCGGCGGCGATGCCCCCCTCGCCCTCCCTCCCCCTTCCAACCAGCGCGCGCCAGGAGGAGGACGAAGGGGAAGAAGAGCAGGAGGCACGATTGGAAAAAAGGAGCATAACGAAAGACTCGGTGCGCCCTGCTGCCCGGCGGCCCCGCGCCGCCCCGCTCGCCCTTCTAAAAATAAGTACCGTACCCGCCCGAAATGGGACTGTAAGGCACGCTGTGGTCATATCAACGGCGACCCCGCCGTCCCCGTCTGTCTCCCCGTCTTGTCGCCGCGACGCCTCCCTGCTCCTCCCCCGGCTGCTCCTCTTCCTCTTGTTCGTCGAGGCTCCTTTTTATTCCCATAGCCCCACCCTTCCACTCTTTATTTATTCTATTTGTCTACCTCCAGAGCGGAGCGGGCCGAGGGGCGCGCCTCGTGGTATACTTAGGCTGTCTCATTACCATCTCCCCCCAGTGTTCAATCAGTCCATACCGGGCACCTGCCCCCC